ATACAAAAATAATTTTATTAGATTTATTATATCAAATATTATCAATATATTATTTTATGTAATTAATATGCAATATATATTTTATTTAATTATAGATCAAAAGTTAAAAATATTTGATCAAAAAAAGTCAAATCTAGACAAGACTAAGGAAATATATAAATGGCAATAGCTCAAATATTTTTCCAGCCCAAATTAATTTCCGGCCCAGGCACGTTTCATATAACACTTCCTTACCAAAACCTAAAACCATTTCCGCCTCTTCCTCTGGATCCACTTTCTCGACATTCTCTTTCTCCCCTATATTATTGTTCTTCATTATTAAACATATATATTTGTTGGTTTCCCTACAAGCCAATTCTTTTCGTCGATGCTGGATTTATCTGCTATTGATATTTTTAGTAAATATTTTTTGGATTGTTTTGCGTTTTTTTTTATTTCATAGTTTTTTTTCATTAAGATCTGTCACCATGAAAAAGATCTTTAGATTCTAGATTTTTTCATTAGTCGTCACCACCGTAACCACTTGCGGCCTTCTCCGCTGCATATCTCCGATCAGCGGCTAACATCACCGTCCAATGGTTAGTTTTAAGTGTATTATTTAATTTTTTAATCTTCTTTTTTGTTCTCATCCTTAAAAATAATTTTCTATATTTTTCATCATATTTTTTTATTCACGATACATAGATCTTTAGATCCATGGATATTGCCACATATGAATCTCTCCATTATAGTAAGATTGTTAGATTTGTTCGCATTTCTGGATGGTTCGGGTAAGAATGACTCACTGTGAAAGAAATAAGAATAAATAATAGTCATTGATCTATGAAATCTAACCGCTCACATCGATGAAAAATAAAGTAATTGAGATTGAATTCATTTATTGTGGGCTGCCAATTTATGCGTACAATACATAGAAAAGGGTAAATTAGGGAGAGAAAATTTTTCCACTAAGATTCTTTAGCCATTTGCCGATTCTTCTGCTTTTTTCAATAAATCTTGCTCTTACCATTTTTCTTCCACTAGTTTTTTCAATTCCCATTCATCCAAAAAGGTATTATGTCTCTTATCAATCTCTAAATTCATGGGGTAGAGAGGGAGTTTGAACGATCGAGGGTGATGACAGCGAGGCCATTCGGGTGGATGTTTTGTACGATGAATTCATTGGAGGTAATGGAATTCATGACCGCAATAGTCTGGATAGGTGTAAATGAGGATATATTAGGGAGTATGATTCTCACAAAGGCACAGAGTGGCGGTTTTGCTACGTCCTTTTGCATATAATGTTGCATCCTCTTCCATAGAATGATGCATCCTCCGCTGAGATGAAGAACAAAGGTAAAACACCTCAGTGCATAATCCAATAGCAACACCGGAGATGACTACAAATATAGGTGCTTTTTTTTTAGTTTAGGTGTCATTTTTTTCCTTTGGGTGGGATATTCAGATAATTTCTTATATAATGTTCATTAAGAATTTGATTCAGGGTTCTATTTAAATATGAAGTTTCAACCATTTTTCATGTTCAAGTGTGTAATTAGTTAATGTTCCTAATTAATTGTTTGTTGTCTCATGAATTGCATTTAGGGTTTCAAATAATGCATCATAGAAGCAAATCTTTCATAAGAGATTATTTGTGTTGTTGGAGGATATGAAGTTTTTTTAGAAGTACATTTGGATTGTTTCTTTTGATATTCTCTATGAATATTAGAAAGTAAATTTTTTACATAATATACTTGAAAAGTGCAATATTATACTCGAGCGAGTGGTTAGATAAAACAAAAAAAAATAGAGTTATTAGATCACACTTGATTGAGTGGATGATAAAAATGCATAATTGTAGTTTTTTTTACTTGAAACAGGTGGGAGTGGTGTTTTGGTTCAAGAGAGGAAGCTTGTGAGATTTGGAAGATCGAGAAATAGTTTGGCGGGAAAGTTGGATAGTAGATGTAGCTAAAGAAGAAACTGAACGAGGCACAAATGTACTTGAGAAAAGAGAATGCATATGTATGAGACCACAAAGAATAGATAATGCATATGTAGTAGACCACAATGCACACAAATAAGAAGAGTGATGTATAGTGATGTGAGTAACACCAGGAATTGTATGGAGATCATTGTATTGGGCAAGAATATTGTTGGAGATGGATTTTTTAATGTCTTATAACTTAATTTCTTTATTTTTTAGGAAAATTCTTGTGGTCTTTAGGCATGCTCATTTTATCATGGAAGCACAACTCATTTTTTAAGGGTTATGATTTTAGGTTTTCAATTATGATGTGTGAATGCAACATAGTGTTTGAATAATTGTATTGAAAAATGTAGAATAACAAGAGAGGAAGAGTATAAAAGAAACAACAAAGTGCATGTTTCGTACCATAATATGTGTTTCCCAATGCTATAAAATGCATAGAATATGTTACACCCTCCATCCCAAAGTAAGTTGAATGTTACTCACTTGATAAAGTAATACTATGCATATTTATATGTTACTCCGTAATATCTTAAACCTATTAACCTTCTTTTTGTTTTTTTGTTACTCACTTGATAAAATAATATAGTCATGTTACCTCTTATTTCACAAGACTATTTATGAAAATTTTAAATATGCAATTTTTAAATAAAAATCCTATTCTCAAATAAATATTTTGAAAAATAACTTCAATCGAACATTATAACTGAAACAAAAAATTTAAATTGAGGCGGAAGGAGTAGATTTCAGAAGAAAATATTATAAAGTGCATAACAACGTAATTGCTTTTAAATGCGAATCACAACCAGGAATCAAAAGAGTATAACATAGACTACAATGTGCATCATTCTTACTATATTATGTGTTATCCTAGAAAAATAAGTGAAGAAAAATGCACAAAAGTGCATAGGAGTATATACATATTTCATGGAAGTGGGGTACAATGTAATATAACACATGGAAGTGGGACAGAATAAAGACAATTTTTTTCTTTGGTCCACAAGGCTTTATTTCTCTTCAAACCATCAACTAAATTTACTCTTTGAGTTGATGCATTTTATCTCCTCCCATTGCTCATGCTTACTTTGATCCAAGTTGTTCCGAGCCATTACTCTATATACTCACAAATCATACTGTACCTACGAGGTTCAAAAAATGCACAAGCAGCACGTTAGGTAAAAGGGTGAGGGAAAAATTACATTTGCATAAATTTAACAAAAGAGCCATTTAAAGCATCGAGCATTGCACAAATAAGTCTAAAATTACTCTAATTTTGTTAGATTTTGAAAAATTGAACTTTTAAGTTATTAATCACTTAAATCAACATTATTTGTTCTTAGCATCCTCACAATCATGTGTTGGTAATCCATCCCCATCCTCACCTAATACACAAGATTATGAACAATATAATAATAGCATGAAAATCTCATCATCAAAATAAAAGCACATTATAAATTAAAGGAAATGCACCATAAGAAAGAGGGGAGTGCAGTATTTGTGGTACAGAATAATATGCCTTAAAGAGAAAAAAAAAAGCATGACTACATACCTGCAATATCATCAATAAAAATTAGAAGAAATTTCAACTATATATCTGAGCTTCTCCACAAGTATAATTCATACATAATAAGCATTCCAATTATAGTAAGATTTGAATTTGTCAATATTGTTTACAAAAAACATCACCAAAATAAAAAAAAAATCCACTAATTCAAATACATGATTGTAGTGTTTGAAATGCATCCATTTTATAAAATCTGCAAATTAAAAGTGAAAAGAAAAAGACTACGAAGTGAATTATGAAGGGAGTCAACTCATGAACAAAGTAAATACATGGTTAGTAGTTGGGTGCAGCAAGAACATCCCAAAGTGCATTACAAGGCTATAAAAATGACATCTCTTGAACAAAATAGCATTTACAAAGAATAATTAAAAAGTGTATGCTTAATGTAAAACATCTTTCCCAGATTAGGAATGTGAAGCAACACAATGAAAATAAATGAATACACATCAATGGAGGGGTCAAAATCCACAAACACCCATTCAAAATTGATGAAAACCGATCAAAACTGAGATATGGTAGGTATTGGCTTGTCCTGAACTACAACAAATTAACTCATCAACATAACTCATAAGAAACAAGATCATATTCTAATTGAATGCCATCTTTGCACTTTTGTAAAAAAAAAACACACACCATTGATATGATGACATCACAACATTCTTAAACTTAGACGAGATGATATAAAATCACCATGTTTCATATGCAAATGCAATATATTGCACAAAATATGCACTGCAGACAGTTAGCAATGTATTACAAATAGAATCAAAACAAATATCAGGTAAAAAAATAAGTCGAAAACAAAAATCTACTCATCACAAAAACAACTACGAACATAAAAGAATAGAAAAAAAACAGTGCGATAAAATGAACATGTAAGAGGCAATTATCATCTCCAAGCCCATAAAAATACAATCAGATGATAAAAAATTGAAACCCCAAAATATATGTAATTCTTGATTCAAAATGTAATAGTGAAATTTGCACTAAATAGGACTAAAACATAATGACTTTCCTAATGTAGGACTTAGACTTTTTTATTCCTTAAATAAGACTTAATAATGACCTAGTGTGAGGAATCATGTCCAGTAATGATGGACATTTACTAGAATAATGACTACTTGATAATGAACAAAGGTACTACTACATTGGAAAATAAAAACATATAGTCCTATATTGGGAAAGTCATTATGTTTTAGTCCTATTTAAGTAAATTTTCAATGTAATAATACCCTATATTTGTTTGAATTTAAATCTATAATTCAAAATCGAAATGCATAAATACGTAATAACTCATTATCTAAAGCTGAAAAAAACCAAGAATAGAATCCAAAAATCAAATTCACTCACCGAACAAAAACACAAAAAAATGGTGACAGATTCAAGAACTTACCTGATTTCAGGGAAGTACCCACAGTGATGGTATCAATTACAAAATTTTTAATTGATGGAGACAGATGCCTCTATCGGTCTAATACCAAAACCTAGGTTGAAAAAATTGAAGAGCAAGATTGAAATCTCCATGGGTGCAGATGAAGAAAAGAAAACTATAATGAGTGGATACAAAGCAAATTTCACGGAGAAGAGTTAATGAAGAGAGAGAGCCCATATCCTCCCTCCCTCCTAAAATTAACTTCTCACTCCCCTTTTTGGGACGTCCTAAAATTAACTTCTCAATTACTAAAAATGGCAACCTTTTTTCTATTAAAGGACAATAATACCCTCTTCAACTATCCTCTCTTTTCGCTTCAATTTTCATTTCTCCGTACAACTTTCTTCCCCTTTCATTACTTTTACCTTTGTTTTCAAAACTTTTCTTCCATCTGTCATCTCTTCTTTTTCTTTTTTCCTTAGTATTGTGATCCTAAACTCTGTATCTTCTTTTCTCCTATGCCTCTTCGATTTTGATTTCATATTTGTTGCAGGCACATAGATCCATCACTGCTGCTGCATCTTTTTTCTGTCTCATGGCCTAAACCAGTGCTGACATGGCTGCATCTAAAATCATTTCCATATTCAGATCCATTCCTTGTTACCACAAAGAACATATAAGCACAACAAGTGTTGGGAAGAGTGAAAATTGTTTTACTTTAGATTCATTTATTTTCTATTTTATCTCAGATTTATTGTTTTCAGCCCAAATCTTTTTTTCAACGGAATCTTAAATTTTTTCTCTTTTATGATTTGATTTTTTTCTCTTTTCTGTTTTTGGGCGTGTTTGGGATACACCACATCGTATGGTTGGAGGTGTCGAGTAAAAGAGTTCGAGGTCAATATGTATATGCAGAAAGTTGCTTTAAAATGGATGAATCGGTGATAGGATATGCTTCAAGTTGCTGGATAATTTTTGTTGGGCTGTGGATGCTCACGTCAGATTCTCAAGGGCAGAAGTGTAGAAATGTTGAAGGGTAATTTTGGAAAGTCAAACTTTCTTTCACACTCCCTTAAAAATGAGCTCCGGTCAAACCGGGAAATTAAATATAGGACGGAGGGAGTATAAATTAAATGAAAACCCCAAAATGCCCATGGCTTTAAGGAGATGCTGACTCCATGACCGATCAGATCTAACGGTGATTAGAGATTCTTATTTCTTTCATTAGATTTTATTCTTATTTGAACCAAAATATATATAGAGTTTGGTTCCGGTGAGAAAGTGATCTAATGAAAGAAATAAGAATAACTATAAACCGTCCGATCTGATGAGTTTTCAATCTTATCGCCAGGGCATAGAAGTCTTTACAGCACTTCCTTCAAACGCAACGCAAACCATCGTGAGTTCTCATCCCTGATTTCTCGCGCACGATCTGATTCACTTTCCCCCTTTTCTCTCTAACCTTTCTAGAGATATGAATACCCTTATTTACCAAACTCTTCCTAACCTCCAATTCGGCCGTAATTGGGAGCGTCTTTGCTGCTCGATCTTTTATCATGGTTCCAAGTTTGTGTTTTTTGTGATTCTTTTTGTCTACAATTACGTAACCATGGTATGTAAATTTCACTAGTCTCTCCAGTTTGTTAGATCCATGGATGCGCTTACATTCTCTGTGAAATTACTTAAAAAAATTTTTGGGATTTAGAATTTTTCTTAATGGGGTTATCGTTTCAAAGGTTGCTGGTTAAACTAAGTACAGCTTCATGAAACAATGCACTCATATTTTTTTGTATGCATTATTTCTAAAAAGGGTTATATTTTATTTCTTTATGCATTTCATGCATTTTGTATTGCATCACCATGTCTGCATACTGCATTAAATGACCCCCCATCGTCTGACCATGCTTACTGCATCAAAATGACCCCCCACGGCTGGATTTAGAATTTTTCTTAATGGGGTTATCGTTTCAAAGGTTGCTCGTTAAATTAAGTACAGCTTTCTGAAACAATGCACCCATATATTTTTGTATGCATTATGTCTAAAAAAGGTTATATTTTATTTTTTAATGCATTTCATGCATTTTGTATTGCATCACCATGTCTGCATACTGCATTAAATGACCCCCCATCGTCTGACCATACTTACTGCATCAAAATGACCCCCCACGACTGATCATGCTTACTCAATTCAACAATGCTTCAAAAAGGTATTGGTAATGCCTGTAACTATTTTTTGGTGGACTGTATTTCGTCTTTTGCTGGTTTTCTTTTCTCTTTGTTGTTCGTCAATTGCGGCCACTTTCATGAAATTATGCTTCATGTCGTATCTCACCTTCTATGTTTATTTATTCATATATATGTCCTCTATTTCGCTTTTTTGAATCATGTATTACATAATTATAATTATGTAATGCATTTAGCTAACCTTCCTCCGTCGATTGTGGCCAGGGTACACACCTATGACTTCAAACGAAGGCCCGACACATGCAACCGAAATTATTTCGACTTCATCCAACTTATTTATTCCTGCCTGCCCTGAAGAGGCCAAGCCCAAAGTGGGAATGGTATTCCAATCCTTAGAGGATGGATTTAATTTTTACAAGGAATATATTGCATTGGCAGGTTTTGACATTCGTAAAAGCACCAATTCGAAGGTTTCGGGTGTTGCTGTGTGGCGGTACGTTGTATGCAACCGCGAAGGTCACAAGCATTTTGCATCAACCTGCAACAAACCCACTCACGACGATGGAGACTTGCCCAAGGCAGGTACTGGAGAACCTAACCTCTTTGAAAATTATTGTGGTGTTCTTGCTCCATCAGTGATTAAAGTGCTTCCACCTCAACCCGCTCACAACAAGGGTAGTGGTAAGCGCATCAAGAGTGCTAAAGAGCTCCAGATTGAACAAAGCAGGAAGAACAAACGCTTGTGTCAAACTTGCAAAGAATTGGGCTATCACGATAGTAGAAATTGTCCGATGAATACTTTGACATAATATTACTTTTTTTCTACAAACATTTAATATTTTTTTGTTGAATCTTTTTAGCACAAGATGGACTCATGTGTCCCATATAAGCCCCCCCCCTCCCCCTCTCATTTCATTTTTTCCCATTACTTGTATATTACTCCAATTTTGATTACCAATGAAATAATTTATTCATCAATTCATGCATTGTACGTATCTCCACATCATCAAAAGTTAGACTTCTGTTCCAACACTGCCTCACACACTTCACCTTATATGAAACACAAATTAAACGCCTTAATAGTTACTTTTATATAAACTTCGGATACCCATAAAATAACAGGGGATTATGAGTGTTAAAAAGCGTCACCCATTCGTTCTTCCCATTTTCGTTTATTAACCGAATGTGTCCAGAATCTCGTTTAACCATTGTCCCAAATCACAACTTTCAACAACACCACATCTCTATAAAGAACTCTTACGTTGCATTCAAACACCTCCAAACCGCACCAAAACACTATTTACCCTGCAAGAAGTTATTTACCTTCTCCGTAATCAAATTCTCCCTCAATCGAAAAATAACTCAATACTACTGCACTAAAATACGCATACACGTACATGAATGAATGAGCACCGTGCATTCACGTTTAATACCACAATAAACACTCATATGGAAATATTATCCAATCGCTGACTACGCTAATCAATGACTTTCATAAACTTATTAGGTATTACCTAATTACTTTTGCAAAATAAATGTTGACTAAACATCACTAATGTCCCATAATTTTTAAACTAGAATTCTTGCTAAATAATAAAAGATACTACTAACTACGCTCATTCTGAGCAATAATTCAACCCCATGTTGCAAAATGAACAACCTAGTGATCGACTCATTCAGTGGCTGTGTACCAAACCAAAACATCAAAATGTCACCCAAATGCAAGTCCTAAAAATATAAAACAAACAGATCATAATCCCCATGCCAAGTCACTAATTAAAACATTATTTAGTGACTTCGGTTGAACTTCTCCCATTTCTTTGTCTCCGTCTTCACTAATGCCCTCACCTTCAATAGAATTCCCGGTTTGTGCTGATTCGTCACCAACGAGATCAATTTGCCCTGGTCCCCCATGCAGCTTGGTTTTCGTTCTGAACATATCATTCATCAACCTTCCACTTCTCCTTCGTGGAGTGCTATCTTTTGATTTCAGCACCTTCTTCTTACATCTCTTCAGGAACAGCTGTTGTACTCCTGTCAAGGTAAGAAATGCATTATAAAGCATTTGACGAGCTCATTGTTCATGCCATATGGAACAAAACTAATGTACTACTGCATTGAATTTAATTTAAATTGCATATACTTATCCCACATATCAATTAGAATATTCTTTTCAATGACTTTTACTTAATTTGTCTTGTCATTTACCATGCAATACAATGCTTATTTAGAATCAACTACTTCACCAAACCAACAAAGGACATGCATACACATAATAATAATTAAAAAAACTACAAGCACCAACAAGAACCACATGAAAAAAGGTTTCATCCTGAATGTCTAGTTCAGAACACATTCATTTCTGATCCATTAATAAACTGTGAATGCTTAACTAAATCCACACCTTGCATCCAATATCAAATTTTGAACACATTCATGACTGATGAAATTGTAGAACACATTCAATTCTTATCAATTACAATGCTCTTTTACTTGAACTTCACATAGAGTTTTCTACTATGGACAATGCCTCTACCTTGCTTATTTTAAACCAACTATTGCATCTAAACAAGAAAATGCTATGCATACCCATTATAATATCTCAAATACACCACATATAATACTCGTACAAACTGCTTAGATAAAAATTGAGACTGCTAATCTCACCCCACACCTTGCATCTAATAAACACAAGGGAACTAACTCTAATCAATTCAAATTACCCACACTTCACATCAAAAACAAATCAAAATACTCAAAACTTCAACAACTCTGCATCAAACATTCTTATAGAATTCTAAAACAAAAAGATACAAAATCAAACCCCAGATTCATAATGCCAGACAATAATATCTGTTTGAACTTCATGGTAACTTGAATTAATCCATGAAACTATTTATATTATTATCTTCCATAAATTTAAAAAAAAACATGACATGAACAATGCACTACCATGCTTATTTAGAACCAATGACTACATATTACAAAAACAAATCCTATTACTTTGTATTACATATATTGCTTGCCCAATTTAAATTTTGTAATGCTTGCCTAACCACATACCATGCATCTAATTAACAAATTGATTCATGCTACTAATCAACTGATATGTCTCACAATTTACTTCGGAAATTGAATACAAACTGAACCAAACTTCAATTATGGTGCAACAAACTTCAATTTCACAAAAGAAAACATGTCATGCACAATGCATTACACTGCTTATTTTGAACCACATACTGCATATTACAAAACCAAATGTTATTACTTTGTATTACAACCATCAGAGTGACAACCACACATCCCAAATGAATGATGCAATCTAGAATACATATATTGCTTGCCCAATTAAAATTTTGTAATGCTTGCCTAACCACATACCATGCATCTAATTAAAAGATTGATTCATGCCACTAATCAACTGATATGTCTCACAATTCACTTTGGAAATTCAATACAAAGTGCACCAAACTTCAATTATGCTGCAACAAACCCGAAACCTTACTCCAACTCATGCAATCACTAAATCAATTTACAAACCCCCCCAAATAAACAAATTCACAACAAATTAAGTTTAAAGCATTACCTGTTTCATCTGTCGAGGTCAGCGGGGTGAAATTGGTATCCGCCCCCTCTTTCTCCATCGTTGCACTCTTCTCCGTTGCCATACCGACTAGACTCCGAATTGCAGAAGACTACTCCGAGTCCAAGAGCACATTTAATGGAGGTATGCAATTTGCCTCTGGGCTTTCTACTCGAAAGTAGCACAAAAAAAGGGATACGCAGCATGATTCCTTTTTGGGGAGGGCACGTGTGATCTTTCGAATGGCAAATTTGCCCTTTTGCGCAGCCATCCCCTATTTTTAAGCACGGTAATTCACACTTACTATTTTCAATTTAATAATTACTAAAAAGTAATGGTTCAATCACAGCCATCCATCCCACTTCATCTAATGCCTCTCCATCCTTCTTATTTCTTTCACTAGGAACCTTTCTCACCTGATGTGACCCCTATATATATATATATATATATATATATATATATATATATATATAGACACACACACATACACACTCCCGAGCATAGACTTCTCCAGTAGGACATGAGATCGTAAGAACGAATTAATCTTAATTTTAGATTGGCTCGAAATGTTGATGGTTTTAGGTCCATCAACCTCGTCCATAGGGCTGGCATTTTTTTTGGTAAGAATAGGGCTAGTGTAGAGGGAAGTTTTAGGGATTTAGGCAAATAAATAGGGTTTATGGGTGTATAGTGTGTAGGAGAGGAAGTGTATATATAGCTGGAATAAAATGCTTTAATACACTGGAAGTTACAAACAGGAAGTGACTGTTTTGGTCTCTACCACTTGAAATGAATAAATGTCATGTGCTTTAGAGACCATGTCCCATGCTTGTATGTAATTAAATGATTTCATCCTATTTTTGCAGAAGTGTTGTACTTTGTATGAAGTTGTGATAATTAGAATAATTAAGAGGCTGTGATGATTGGTTTTTTATGTTTTCTCATATATTGTTTACTGAACGGAAGGAAATTAATACGTATGGCTACCTAGCTGTCTAGAAGCAGCGATGGCATTTACATTAATTTCTTAAAATGATTATATAAGTAGAGCATATCTGAGCCTCTTTATACTAGCATTGAAAATGATACTTTTTCGTGGCAATACATAAAGCTCTTTACAATGCAGTGGCATGCTTTGCGTATAATGGTGGAATAATTTGAAGAATTATGAGGCTGTGATGATTCGTTTTATATGTATTCTTATATTTTGTTTATTGAAACTAAGGAAATGGTACGTATCTTGGCGTGACTTCTGAAGTTATTGAAGGATTACGTAACTTGGCGTGGCTAACTGGCTAGCCATAAGCAGCCATGGCATTATGTTATCACTTTTCCTTGAAAAAAGAAAGTGGTGTATATCTGAGCCTCTTTATAGTTGCTTTGAAATGAAATTTTAAATATTTTTTCTCCCATTACCAATGAATAGTTGCTTTATAGTACCTTTCACAATATAGAATGGGCTCTGCCATTTTCAATGAAGATTGGGGCTGTGCCATTTTCATGAATACTATTGTTTGGGGCTGTGCCATATCTGGTGTGAAAATTTTGAAGATTCAATGAACATGGTTTTGGGGCTGGAGTGGAAGACATTCTGATGTTATCACTGTGGCTGGATTTATTGATGCATGAATGTTGGTGTGTATATATATATATATATATATATATATATATATATATATATATATATATATATATATATATATATATATATATATATATATATATATATATATATATATATAGTAGATATGAACGACAGTAGTACTCCCTCCGTCCATGTATGATCTTCCCATTACGCGTTACGAGGCTTGACCGACTTTATTTTCAATTCAATTTAATTGATTATAGGAGTAAAATTCCAAAATAAAATTTATATAGTAATAAACTACATGAAAAGTTCTACAAAATTAGAGGTGACAAGACTATATTATTTTATGAAATGACTAGTAAAATTGAGCAAACAAAGTGAGTAAAGTTTGACCCTGTGAATAGTGTCTGGGAAGATCTATGGTGGACAGAGGGAGTATTAAATTTTGTCTTCATATCATGAATTAGTACATATAATTTATAACTAAGTAAATAAACAATTTAAATTTTAGAAATTATACACAAATAGATTACTAAAACTATTTTTCAATTAAAGGTTTAAAAAGTTCTCAGTTTTAAGTTTTATTTTAAACAGGTCAAAATTGGAAAAGGTTATAGGGGGCGTCCCATTTTCTTAGTGGGGGCAAAATTGATATGATTTCCGTCTCAAATTAAGTTTTCTCTTTATTATTTACATGGTCAAATTTATTTATTTTCTTTTTCTATTTTCATTACTTATTTCATAAAACAATATATTTATGTTACTTCTTTGGTAGAACATTTGAAGTAATTTTTTACTACCTCCGTCCCATTTTATAACGCCTGTTTCGGTTTACGATATTTGACTGAAATTATTTTCAAACCATTTTATATGACAAATGGTATAGAATTAAAAAATAAAAATTACATATGAAAAAACTACATCAAAAGATCTACAAAACTAGTAGTGACAATAATATTTTATTTTATCAAATTGCTAACGAAAATAGAGAAAGAAAGTGAATAAAGTTTGACCCTGTGAATAGTAAACAGACATTATAATTTGGGACGGAGGGAGTACTATATAAATTTTAGTTTTTAATTTTGTTTCAATTCTTACATAAATTATATTAAAAATAACTTCGGTCAAATACCATAAAATGAAACAGACTATTTAAATTACGACAGTGACTAGTTTAAAAAAATTGGTGTAGGTTAATAGTTATCCCTTGCATCTCGTCTTCCAACTGCTTCCTCCTCTCCACCCGTGCCCTCCCTCTTTCTAGCTTGCTATCTCCAACACAACCATACTTGCATGCCTGACTTGGCGTTTATCGGTTTAAACGGAAGCCACGGGGAGCCTTTAGTCATCCGTTTAAACGGAAGCTGCAGATAGCCTGGGCCATTTGGCTTCATCCGATTTCTAATTGTCAACATCCGATTATTCACTTTAACAATTACATTTTCTAAAGCAACCATAACAACCCAATATAGACAAATGCATTGTTGCATTAATAGCCCAGAACTTCATAAAATGTAAGAGAAGTTTAGTGTTCCATTTATACATCACCAAGGTTCAAGTGACATTGAACCTTGATGTCATGGGATGACCCGGGGACGCTCTGGTGCCCCGTTCGTAAAATTGATGGTTCCTACCCCCCATAACCCCCCGGTAAACCCTCCCACCCGGCCCCGGCCCGAACACACCCCCCCACCCCCTTCAATTGCACCCCACAAGTTGATTTTGACTTTAGAGTCAAATTTTGACTCCAAAGTCAAAATAAACTTGTGGGGTGCAGTTGAAGGGGGTGAGGGGGTGTGTTCGGGCCGGGGCCGGGTGGGAGGGTTTACCGAGGGGTTAAGGGGGGGTAGGAACCATCAATTTTACGAACGGGGCACCGGAGCCTGTCTTCGGGCCGGGGCCTTCCCCTTTATACATTTACTTCATTATGTGTCCAAAACTAAAACATAATCAATAATATCTTTTTATTAGCACATTAGAGATGATGTACTCCGTATTCAGCAAGCCACAATGAGGCGTTTACCTTAGTTTCTTAGAATCAGATATTTTGAAAAGTGTACTCTGGAGTACAAAAATCCTTGTTCAAATGAATCGCAAATTCTAATAGTTTTTAATAAATGCCGTCATAAAACAAGGAAAAAGTTGAAGTATATACTTAAAGAACAAAGAAAGGAAAGCCTCTGCTTAAGATTGCAACAATTCCAGGTTTTGAAGTTGTAATAAAGGTCATGGAACAAATGGTCCTTACCCCCTCGATAGAAGTGGGAAGGGGGGGGGGGGGGTGGTGGTTAATGACCTATAGAATTTTGGCTCTTAATCAATAACCCTCTCACATAATTAGGTGATTCACGAATATACATTTGGTAATGACCTCCGAAATAATAAACGCACTCGAAATACGGCTAACATTTGTTGCTAATTGTAGTGAATTCTTCTGCAATAATAAGGTGTCGAGCACATGCTGTATCGAGTAAAAGTAAACATCCGGCTATAAAAAAGACAACAGAAAATAGGGAAGCCGATTAAAATAGGTATAATAAGAGCCAGATTACTTCTTAGATGTTCGAAAACCTCCAAATCCCATCATGGCTGCAATATCAGAGTCTTCTTCAGGTTCATCCTCTGTTGCCTTCTCTTTCTATAAAAGAAATATATGAAAAAGATAGTGTCAAGATATGTTGCAGAACATGGCCAACACAGATAACTAACATTGAAGATATCATGCTCAAAGGTAAAGGCCAGATTGGGTTTTTTAAGAATATGTGCTGACCTTTTTCTCTTTCTTCTTTTCTCGACGTTGCCGTTTCCGCTCCTCCTCTTCATGTTGTTGTTTCAGCATCCGCTCCTCAAAATCTGAAAAGAAAATAGAATGAACCAATATTTTTTTTAGTTTCATTTGGTTTCCTTTTTCCTCTAATAAGCTTTGCAAAAAAAAAGTCATATATATACACAAGAAAAATGCAATTTTCTCATTAATGAAATGTTACACCATTGTGCTTGAACTAAGTCGTGTTGCTATTTAAGCCCCACCTTGCACAGTAATGCTTGTACTATCTTTACGCTTCTTCATCGTTTCAAATCGCTCTTGGACCTGAAATATTCTCAGAGAAATAAATATAATCATCTTATCATATAACATTCCAATGGACTTCGTAGCAGTTTTATTAATGGCAAATTGAGTAGGTATATTATACATCCAACATTAAAAAATGAGTATTCTTTGGAGGTAGGATAAGCATTCTCAACAACTAAATGACCATTCCTTACATGAGAAATGAGCAGAATAATATAAACAAAAACATGATAAACACAAAAGGACTAAATGGAATGAGCACTATTCTTAATCATAATGAGCATGTCGGCCAAAAGTTACAAAATTGCCATGAATGGGCAAAAGTCCGCCATACAGCACTGCCATTAACTGCTGCATTGTAGATACATTGGTAATTAAATTGTAATTGAATCCATAATCCACATATGTCTAGTTGTACCATGTTTAACA